TTTAAGAAAATTAAACATTGCACTGTGAGAAAAAAGCCAGCATGAGTTTTCCATGCACCTACTCATTCTTCAAGGGTGGCAAGGCTGTCTTGAGAATTTGGTTGGGACCCTTAACCTTTACCCCATCATTGTCCTATAGTCCTGATCTTGCCCCTTCAGCCTTTGGTTCCCAAAATGTAAAAATTTTAAAGGAATGTAATTTGAATCCCTCTAGGATGCCCCAAACCCCACTTTGATGTGGCGTAAACTGACGGGTGCAAGATTCTTCAGTGAAAGATTAGAAGTGTACAGACCTGGAGAAAGGAAATTAGAAAAACACGCTTCATATTTTACTAGTGTAATAAATATTCCTTAATTTTTGTTTGATAAAATTTTGTAGCAATACCTTTTTTTTAAACCTAGTATTAAGCTTACAAGCCCTAAATACGCTATCATCCTATTCCTATTGTCCCCTCATATGCTGCTGGCCTTTCGACTTGAAATGCTATTTCTCTCCATGATCACCTGGCACAAGTCGGGGATCAACTTCTCTGACAAGTCCTCTACAAGCACTTCCTGTCCCAAAGGACCCTGAGCTTTTGTTTATTGGAGGACTCCTTTTGACAATGTCTCCCACCTTTAGACATACCCAGGAACCCTGGTGGTATACTGGGTTATATATTGGGCTGCTCACCACAAGTTCAGCAGTTTGAAATCATCAAGTGCTTCTTGGGAGAAAGATGAGGATTTCTATTTCTGTACAGATTTGCAGCCTGGGAAACCCACAGGGGAAGAAGTTGTATACTCCATCCAAACGGGAGTCAAGACAGACCTGACGGCAATGAGTTGCTCTGGTGAACGCCCAGGACAGTTCAGCTCTGAGGCCTTTGAGCAGAGGAGGGACTAACATGTGGCGAGTGAATGACTGAATTGTTTCTACCTCTATCAACAAAACCATAAGGTGAACTAGAATAATACTTTTCCAAAGCTGATGGGGTTTCAACACAGCCACAGAGCTTGTTAAAATGGAGATTCTGATTCAGGACCAAAGATTCTATGTTTCTAAGAAGTTCCCAAGTGTTTCTGGTGACATTTTGAGCAGAGAAAAACTAGAAGTCTGCATTTAATTTCTACTAAAATACTAGGGTTGGGGATTCATCTAACCTAGCCTTTAAAGTAAAAAGAGCCATATCTGGAATATACATACCATTTACAATAGCAACAAAAGAGATGACATCCCTAGGAATAAACCTAACCAGGATGTAAAAAACTTAAGACAAAGAAAACTACAAACCACTAACACAAGAAACCAAGAGCTCCATAAATGGTACCTATCAGGCTGATAGAAAGACCTAACATGTCAAAATGTCCCAACTCCCCCAAAGCAATCCGTAGATGTAATACAATCTCGATCCAGACCCTATTAACATTGTTGTTAGGTACCAGTGAGTCTCATAGCGGCCCTACATACAACAAAAGGAAAGAAACGCTGATGGCAAAACCAACTTTATATGGAAAAAGGGAGAAAAGAAAGAAAGAAGACCCTAGATAGCAAAGCATACTGAAGAACAACAGAGACCTCATGTTTCCCAGTCTTAGAGCTTGCAGTACAGACGCGGTACTAAAAACAGCCTGGTACATCAACAGACACACGAATCAGTGGGACAGAGTTGAAAACCCCGAAGTAAATCAATCCACCTATGGAGGGACAATTCATCTTTGACAAAGGGCAGAAAGGCACTAAATACGGAAGAGATTGTTTCTTTAACAAATGGTGCTGGCAAAACTGGATATCCATTTGTAGAAACACGAAACAGGATTTATACCTCACACTACATCCATCAACTGAAAAGGATTGAAGATCTGAAACAAGAACGACTATCAAAGATAACTATTGAATTAGACGATATGTAAATCACCAATAAAACTGTTGAAAAAATAAAATCATAAACAAAAAAAGATTATCGAAGGAAAAAATGGAAGGGGAACTTAGGGGCCATAATTTATAGCATAAATAGTGTATGAAACATAACAAAAAATTTACAAGCCTCCAAAGATAGATATCTGGGAACTTCTAACAATAAAACACTTATGTGCATCAAGACCTCCTAAAAAGTAAAAAGAACCAGGAAAAAATGTCTTGGCAATCTGTAACCTAAAGCTTATAGAAAACGTCAACATTTCAACTCAACTCACTGCCATTAAGTCAACACCAACTCAGAGCACCCTATAGGATAGGCTAGAACTAGCCCTGTTGAGTGTCCAAAAACTCTCGTCTCTCTTCCTCGGCCTGGTTTCAAGAGTCTCCACGTGGTAGCATGTATCCAAACTTACTCTTTATGGGTGACCGATATGTCTTTAATTATGTGCGCCCCACATTTTATTATCCAGTCACCTGCTAATGGACACCTGCGTCTCCCCCTGCCCCCCGCCATTTAGCTGTTGTGAATATGCTGGAGTGAGTGTTGTACAATTAACTGAGTCTGGTGGATTCAAACTGCTGACCATGTGGATCGCAGCCCTGCATGTAACCACTACACCACCAGGGCTTCTTTTCAACATTTCAACAGTAATTGGTGAAAAAAAATTCCACGTAATAGGCAAAAGCCATAAACAGGCACTTTCGCCAAAGGTAATATGCAGGTGGCCAGCAAATATACAGAAATACTTGTGATCATTAGGCCGTGTTGTCAGGAGTTGGTGAGTTGGTTTCCACTCTAGTGACCCCTACGCATAACAGGAGAAACACCGCCCAGTCCAGCACCATTCTTACAAAATTTTTTTTTAAGATCTTATTGGGGGCTCTTACAGCTCTTGTAACAATCCATTCATCAGTTGGATCAAGCATATTTGTACATGTTGCCATCATTTTCTAAGCATTTATATTCATCTGAGCCCATGGTATCAGTTCCTATTTTACCTTCCCTGACCCCACCCCCCTCGTGACCTTTGACAAATTTTTATATCTTACACCAACCAGTCTTTGTAGTTTCTTCTCCCCTCCTCTCCCCACCTTCCCCTTCCCCTCCTGGTACCGCTACTCCCATTTCTGTTCCTGAGGAGTTTATCTGACCTGGATTCCATGTGTCCTGAGCTCTATCTGTACCTGCGCACATGCTCTGGCCTATCCCACAGTGAAAGGCAGGACTGGGGTCATGATGGTGGGGGTTGAGGAAGCCTCAAAGAACCAGAGGACTACTGTACTCAGAAGGCTGTGGGGGGATGCAACTCTCACACATGCTAGTGGGACTGCATGATGGTGTGTATGATTGTAATGATCACTGTGGAAAATGGGATAGCACGTCCTTAAAAAGATCAAT